TGGGGTGGGGGATTATGACAGGGAAGAATGGGGGTGAAGGAAAGAAAAAAATGATGTTATTGTATTTTAATTTCAAAAGATTAAAGTCAAACAAAACAGTTAAAATTACTACATCCAAAAGGAGACTGAACCAGGTAGTGGTGTCACATGCATTTTTTTCTTTTTCTTTTTTTTAATTTAAATTAGAAACAAGTTTATTTACATGTCAGTTGCAGTTCTCTCGCCCTCTCCTCCTCCCCTGCCCCCCACCAACCTCTTATCCCATCCCTCTCTGCTCCCTAAGGAGGGTGAGGACTTCCATGGATATACAAAGTCTGTCATATCATTTGGAGCAGGCCCTAGGCCCTCCCCTGTGTGTCTAGGCTGAGAGAGTATCCCTCGATGTGGAATGGGCTCCCAAAGTCTATTCATGTACTAGGGAAAAATACTGTTCCACTACCAGAAGCCCCATAGATTAACCAGAACTCCAAACTGATATCCTCATTCAGGGGGTCTGGAATAGTCCTATGCTGGTTTCCCTGCTATCAGTCTGGGGGCAATGAGCAACTGCTTGTTCAGGTCAGCTGTTTCTGTGGGTTTCTGCAGCCTGGGCTTGACCCCTTTGCTAATCACTCCTCCCTCTCTGCAACTGGGTTCCAGGAGTTCAGCTCAATGTTTAGCTATGAGTGTCTGCTTCTTCTTCCATCAACTACTGGATGAAGGCTCTAGGATGGCATATAAGGTAGTCATCAATCACATTGTCAGAGAAGGGCTTTTAAGATAACCTTTCTACTATTGCGTAGATTGTTAGTTGGGGTCAAACTTATAGATCTCTGAACATTTCCCTAGTGCCAGATTTCTCTTTAAACCTATACAGCTCCCTCTATTATGGTATCTCTTTAATTGCTCTTCTCAATTCTTCCCCTGACTCAGTCTTCCTGCTCTCTCATGTCCTCTTCACACCTCCTCTTCTCCCCTTCTCATTCTCCTAGCTCCCTCTCCCCTCCCCCCATGCTCCCAATTTGCTCAGCAGATCTTGTCCCTTTCCCCTTCTCCAGGGGACCACATATGTCTCTTTTAGGGTCATCTTGGTTTCCTACCATCTCTGGTGGTATGGATTGTAAGCTGCTACTTCTTTGCTCTAGGTCTAAAATCCATATATGACGGAGTACATACCATTTTTGTCTTTTTGTGACTGGGTTACCTCATTCAGGATTGTTCCTTCTAGTTCCATCCATTTGCCTTCGAATTTCAAGATTCCATAGTTTGGTTTTGTTTTGTTTTTTTTTCCCACTGAGCAGTAATCCATTGTGTAAATGTACCACATTTTCTTTATCCATTCTTCAATTGAGGGGCATCTATGTTGCTTCCAGGTTCTGGCTGTTACAAATAGTGATACTATGAACATGGTTGAACAGATGTCCTTGTATGAATGTGCTTCTTTTGGGTATATGCCTAAGAGTGGAATTGCTAGATCTTGTGGTAGACTGATTGCCATTTTCCTGAGGAGCTCAATGTTTAGCTATGAGTGTCTGCTTCTTCTTCCATCAACTACTGGATGGAAATAAGCCACTTATTTCCAAAGTTGGCACTCCCACTAGCAGTGGAGAAGAGTTCCCTTTTCTCCGCATCGTCTCCAGCATAAACTGTCATTGGTGTTTTTTATTTTAGCCATTCTGACAGGAGTAAGATGGTATCTCAGAGTTGTTTTGATTTGCATTTCCCTGATGGCAAAGGATGTTGAGCACTTTCTTTTGTGTCTTTCTGTCATTTTGAATTCCTCTATTGAGAATACTCCATTGAGTTATGTAACCCACTTTTTAATGGGATTATTTGGTGCTTTCGTGAAAAGCTTCTTGAGTTCTTTGTATATTTTTTAAATCAACCCTGTGCCAGATGTGGGGCTGGTGAATATCTTTTCCCATTCTGTGGGCTGCCATTTTGTCTTGTTAACTGTGTCCTTTGCCTTCCTTCCAAAAGCTTCTCAGTTTCAGGAGGCCTCATTTATTAATTGTCAATCTCTTAGTCTGTGTTACTGGTGTTGTATTCAGGAACTGGTCTCCTGTACCAATTCTTTCAAGTATACCACCTACCTTCTCTTCTAAGTGGTTCAGTGTGGCTGGATTTATCTTGAGGTCTTTGATCCATTTGGACTTAAGTATTTTGCATGGCGATAGATGTGGAACTATCTGCAATCTTCTACATGCAAGCATCCAGTTATGCCAGCACCATTTGTTGAAGATGCTTTCTTTTTTCCATTGTACAATTTTTTATTTATTTTATTATTATTTTTATTAGTTCAAATTAGGAACAAGCTTGCTTCACATGCCAATCCCTTCTCCCTCACCCTCCCCTCCCCCAACTCACCACCAGCCATGACCCCCCCCATCTACTCCGCAGGGAGGGTAGGGCCCTCCATGGAGGCTCCCCAAATTCCACCATATCATCCTGGGCCAGGCTGAGACCCTCCTGCATGTGTCAAGGCTGAGAGAGCATCTCTTCAAGTGGGATGGGCTCTCAAAGTCACTTCTTATACCAGGGAACAATACTGATCCACTACCA